AGTTCATAATCGTGCGTAATCGACCCACTGCCACGCCCACAAAACGCCATTAAACGCAAACTTATAAAGTACCATAACTAAGCATTAAACTAAGATTCAAAACTGCAATTTGGCACAAGTGATCGTAGCAACAAGGCGCACCTGCGGGCTAGTAATTTTAAAAAATAGACGTGGCCCCTAAACCACTTAAGGTACAATAACACTATAAAATGGATGATTTTGGATTATAACACCGTCCACTTTCCACAGTTTTGTTAAAAACTACTTAAAGCGCGATAAATTAATAAATAAATACGCCAGAAACATTAAATTTTACATTTGATATGGTACGAGAGCACTTTGTAGGAGTCAAGGTTAAAATAAGACGATGGGCGTGGAACCGCCCCCTTTTAGGTGAAAACTCTTATTTCAGATCCAACCTTACCGATATCGATGAAATACGGTATGTAATAATATCGGATTACAACCACGTCTACTTTCAATATAACAAAATTTTAAATTCCATCTGATTCTTTCACTTTCCAGTATACAAATCAAGCAAAAATTATTATATCGGGGTAAAACTTTGCCCGAATAGTGCGCTTAAAGTAGGCCACCTTATGACCAAAAATTATTAAAATTGGATTACAACTGTTTAAGTCCCCAGATACAGTATATGTGGACCCCAGTTCCTACAGCGAACATTTTATGGAAAACTCCGGTCAATCTGTAAGATATGTTATTGAAATTCGGAGCAATTCCTTTCGTGATAACAGTATGTCTGTATGTCAAAAAGGATTGAATCGGATGAAGTCTTCTCTTAGCCGCCATATACCTAATATAAAGATTTTCGAACCTCCGTATTACTAAATACCACATACTTGTAGATTGGCAAATATGTGAGTTATCTTAGTGAAAATAAGGCAGCGTATTTTACCTATAGCAATGTATCTTTGTGCCTAGAATGGATAAAATCGAGTGAAAATTTGCCTTAGCCCCCATAAAACTAATATCACGATTTTCAAACGGCTGCCTTTACTTCATATGATTGGTGATGGTATGTAAAGTACCTTAATGGCTCAGGGAGGATATTGCCACTATGTGGGATGTTAATAGTATGTGGTATTTCTAAAAATTGATAAAACCGGGTCAATACATCCTTTAGACCTATGGGGTCTATGCCTATTATAAAATTTGTATACTTCCGGTTGGCTTTACAACGTATAAATATACGAATTATCCAAACTCCCTTATACTGCTTATAATGGTTTTCAGTATTAATAATAATAATAATAATAATGACGAATATGTCGGTGCATGTGCTCTCGAGTATACTTGAGTAATGTCAAAAGTTTGTTCAAAGAATAAATCTTAATATATTTTATATAGTGATTTTCGATTTCTCATCTGTCTTTAAACCGATTAGGTTGGTCAAAATGGGTAATATTTTAGTGAAACTAAAACAAGTTTTTCTCAAAATTGTGTGGTTTTGCGCTTAATATGAATGAAATTGGTTTAGACCTAGCTCCAGATATCATATTCCTAATTTAATGAATTCCGATCCTTTGGTGAACGTTTTCCACCTCATCTCAATATTATGTCAGATATATTTACGGATGATTTTAATATAATTTTCGCTGACGGGAAGTAAAATATAGTTATAAAACTAATTTAGTATATGAACATTAATATAACTAAATAAATACCAAATTTGATTATAATTCGTTCACGATTTCGTAGAGCAATATATGGTATGTTGAATTATTTTGCAACATTTATAAAATCAAGTTTAGCCTACACCTGAATGAACTCCCTCGTCTTTGATTCTAGCAAGTTGCAAGAGTGCGAAATGTCCCGAACTTAGCCCTTCCTTACTTATTTTATTTAATAAAGAAATCCAGATAAGGATAATGTATTTGCCGAACGAGTTGTTATAACATCAAATATAATCATTATAATCATCGTATGTTGTGCTTTGAAAATCTGTTGACAATTAGGATTTTTACGATATAACGATTTTGTTCAATGTAATAAATATAAAATTTCTTTACAAAATAATCAGATCATATAAAGAGTGCTTAGAGACTAACCAAGAAACCAAACGAAATTTATTACTACGTTTACGTACGATATTCGCTATTTTTGTTGTAAAAATGGCTGCTAATCGATTCTTCTACTCAAAGAGCGAATAATAAGATAAGCCGATTGTGATAATTTCGAGAAGAAAATACTTGTGTACTAAGTTCTTTTTTTCTTCTTTTGAAAAAAGAAAGTCTAAAAAATTCGATTTGTCTTCGATCCGACAAGCACTAAAGAGTAGCGAATCGAACAAACTGTACAAGTTAACCAATCAAGTTTAATGGCGATCCATCTTTATGCCAACATATCCTCATATATCACGCCTAATATTTATATATAATAACATCTTTTTAAAACAGGGTAAAGGTGTATTTTTAATTTTTTTTTTATTAAAAAACGTCTTTGTATTTTCTCTTTAGACAGTAATTTTGCATTTGAGATATTCACATAAATATAATTGGTCTAAAATCTGCAAAACAATATTTAGTAGCAATAAAGCTCTTGTATTGAATTCAGTTCGCTAACTTTGATCTTGTTTTTCTACTCTAAAGAGTATAATAGTTTTGTTCACCAAACGGTTGCGTATAACAGCTAAAACTAATCCAGATAGATAGAGAGTTATGCATATAGTATAAATGATCACGATAATGAAACCAGTTGCATGCCTGTTGATTGTCTGTCACTTGTTCCTTGACACCATAAGAAGTTCAGTTGCTCACTTTCATGCAAGCTTTGGTTTCGTTTCTTTTTTTATTTAGTTGTGCTGTTTCGAAGAAAGAAAATATTTCTTCTAATTGAAATTAACATAAAAGCTTTAATGAACTCTCTACCGATACAATGATCGTTCTCAGGAAGTGGTTGGAAATTACTATAGAGCAAGTGAATATGTACATACTGTGACAACAGGAAATATAGCAATCAAAGCAGGCTGCAGCAATTGCCACTAAACTAAAATCGTTAGTAACATTAGTACTAAACCATTGGGGCGTCTGCCAAACAACCAGTGCACAATTAGAGATACTCTCGGAAAAGATAAAATGCACCAACAAAAGCAAAAACCACATGGATGCACGCCATTTACCAACAGCAACCAGCACACACAACGTCGCAACGATCCAGTGCAGCTGCAATTTTAAGATTTATGCTTACAAGCACTTTGGAAATGCAAGCAATTGCCAGAGCGGCGAAGACACCGAGCATTAAATGTAGCAAAGACAGTCAAAGATATGGTAGGGAGTTGCGAGAGAAGCAGAAAAGCGTGTGACGTGTAACGAGCTGAGCGTATCAGACATTACTTGGCCAAGACGGGCGTTGTAACTTAATGGCTCAAGAGAATGCTTAAATAAAATCTGAGAATTGCATTTCGGCATTTCCGTTTCCCTACAAATTTTGCACATCATTATTAAGTTTTTCATTTGTTGTTTTATTGGCTAGATGGTGTATGTGTAACTTGTGTGTGTGTGTGTGTGTGTGTGGAGAATGAGTGAGGTGTTAAGTTCTGCTCCGACCACTGAATAAATCGGGTCAGACTGAAGTACAGCTAATTCTTCAGTTGCCTGAATTGCTACTTCGCACTAAACGGTTTGACCGGCTCTCCGAGGACTTGGTTTTGCCACCTCCTCACTTTTAATTCGCACTCTGCTATCACTGGCTTAATGTCTTCGCCGAGATTCTGATTCTTGGATGGCATGTATGTGGCATGCGTGCACATGTATGTATGTGTGCAAGTAATAGCGAACCATCTACGGGCTTATGTGTGTGAGCTCAAGCAGCTTCTGCTCACAATTCTGATTACAATCTTCCGCCTTCTGTTTACGATTCGCGTAACGGCTACAACTTTTCGCAAGTTTGGCCTGTCATTCGAATGGCGTACATTTCCCGTGATTTATACGCAACGGCAATTCTCGGCAACAAATTTTCAGCTTGTCTTCTTCATATTTAAACTACTAAATTGTGAGTAAGGGACAGTGGGGTGGAAGTTACCAAAAATTGATAGCGTTACAATGTGGATGCATTTACTTTGTAAGCGAGTGTATCCGCACATTCCTATCACGCATTGGCTTGTCACACTTAGGCTTGGATGTGTGTGCGTTTGCATTTGACTGCGAATAACTTGTGTGGAATGTCTTCCGTTTTGTACATGACTTTTTAGTATGCACAACACAAATAGTCCAAGTTAATAGTTGTAACGCAGCATTGGCTGAAATCTAAAATTAAAATCGTAAACTTGAGTTGTGAGCTCGTTACTTCGTCTATTTAAAACTGGTAGTCGGTCTCGCTTGAATGCTGCTTTGGAAGTTACTTACAGTTAATGATAAGTAGCGGAAGCGAGTTTGTTTAACTCTTGATAAGTGTTCCGGGCAGAAATTCAGAGGCGATAGTAATTGTATAAAGGATTGTGTTATAATATCCTGTTCATACGCCCTTCATATGTAAAGAAAAATTGCTTATTGCGGAAAAAAAAGCTTTACATACGAAATAGGCTGATACACTAGAATACATTTTTTGACAAATTTTGTATTTATTACCATAGTTTAGTTGGCAAGAATCCCCCACTGAACCCTCCCCGAGGGTGCCGACTGGAAATAGATACCACAGATTCACGACACAAGCGGGGACGGGCTGGTAACAGTCCGCCCTGGCCGTAGACGTGAGGAATCTAGCTAAGGTCAGACTTCTTATCGGTGTGTTCGATGTTCCTCAATAGCACAGCATACAGATAAGGAGCCTTACCATGGTCGGGGGTAAAGGGCTGGATCAAGGTGTCATGCGACCCGTGCCGAGGATCAACCTGGCTGGGGGCCCTTAAATAGCCCAGTCTCGAACGGAGCTTACGGATACCTGGCGCCCTCCGTAATAAGATAGCCTTGCTTGCGCAACGGGGGCTATGCGCAAGTCGACATACGTTCCCCCACACTCGTGGGACCAAAAATGAACCAAAATAAAAATAAAGAAACGAAAACAAAAAATCGGAGAGAGCCCGGATCTCCAAGAAAAAAGCCGGAGGGAGCGAGTTGCTCCCACAAAAGAGCAGCGTTTGGAGCGAGCTCAACTAACACGAAGAGGACAGGAGCGAAGCTTGGTCCAGAAGACAAGGCAAGCACTAGTAAAGGGGCAGAAGCTAAAGCTGGCCCACAGAAAGTGGTAGCGCTGGAGGCAGCCAAACTCGAACCCTGCGGCCAAAACACGGCTGAAAAGCAGGGGGAGAGAGGAGATGCCAAAAGGTCTACCGCCGGAAGTGCATCTGCCAGGGAGTGGCCTGCATTTAGCATGCAGGACCCGTCAAAGGCAAAATATGCGGAGAGACGACGCGCCGCATACTTACTAAGGTTGGTAGAGCTAAAGCCGCCAACGAAAGAGGAGCTAACGAAGGAGCTCCAAGCATCAATTGACTGCGCGAGAGCAGTCATACCCAACTTTAAGTTGGAGCCGCCGGTAAAGGCAGCCAAGCGACAGAGGTCAGCTGAAGAGGCAAAGCCGTCAGCTAAGAGACCGAAGACCAAGGGTGTAACGCCCGCAAAATCATTTGCAGAAGTGGCCCGGAACCGAATAGTCATTGGCGTTCTGGATGAGGGAGATCCCGAAGGAAGAATCCCCAGAGCCCAATGGAAATGGGTGCAGGCTGCGCTGACAAATGTGGCGCTGGAAGTGCTATTAAGCAATCCGGGTCCGCCACCGTCATGCGCAGATGCCGGCTGGTACCAGGGCCAGATCAAAATGATTGCGTGCGACGACGAAAGATCGGTCGCACTATACAAAGCTGCTATAGCCAAGGTGGGAGAGGTATACCCCGGGGCAAAATTGGTAGCAGTGGACAAGAAGGACATACCATCCAGACCAAGGGCAAGGGTATGGATTCCGGCTGCACCAACTCAGCCGGACCAAATTATGCAGCTCATAAGAGCCTGCAACCCGAGCCTACCCACTGAAGGGTGGAGGTATGTCAAGACATTTGAGGACAGCGTAGCGGAATCTGGCGTGGAGACCAAAAGGGCCACGATGCAGATTCTGCTGCTTTTAACGAAAGAATCCATCGAACCGCTGGCGAAGAGTGGCGGGGAGATAAATTACGGGTTCACGAAAGTAAGGATAACGCCTTACAAGTCGGACGCCGATGCTGCAGACCATCTGGCATCGGGGAAAGAGATATGCGAAGTAGAGGAAGATCCCATGGAGTCCTCGAGCGACGCGGAAAGCATGGAGCAAGGTGAGTGTTCTTCTTCCGAGTCTGAGCTTGCGGCCAGACTCTCAAGCTTGTATACTGAGAAAGAGCTTTTAAGCGACTCTCAGGAAGACGCAGATATAACAATTGTTAATGCGTCTTCTACAAATTAATCTCCATCATAGCAAACTAGCTTCAGCAGCCCTAATTAACCGCGTGGCAATGGACCAGCCTGAATTCGTCCTCATTCAGGAGCCATGGGTTAATGGGGGGCGTATTTGCGGACTGAGGGCGCCGAACTATAAGTTGCTGATGGCTAACTGTGAAGGTAAAATCAGAGCCTGCATAATGGCAAAGAAAAACCTTAATGTTTTTATATTACATAATTACAGCAACAACGACACAGCAACAGTAAGCTGGGAAACGGGCTCAAGCAGTTACCGGCTAGTGTCGTGTTATATGCCGTATGAGCAGGAGCTGGTGCCACCTCTGATAGTAAAAGAGGTGGTACGGGATAGCGAGGCATCCAAGTGCATGACGATACTTGGATGCGACTCAAATGCGCATCACACAATCTGGGGCAGCACAGATGTAAACGAGAGAGGTGAGTGTCTCTTTAACTACCTACTAGGTACTAAGTTACTGGTGTGCAATAAGGGAAGCACGCCAACATTTATTACAAGAAACCGACAAGAAGTGCTGGATATCACACTTGTGTCGGAAGAACTAATTGACAGGGTAACCCAATGGAGGGTTCTCGAAGAACATTCCTTTTCGGATCACCGATATATCGAATGTACAATAGAGGAAAGGGCCGATAAAGGCATTAACTTCAGGAATCATAGGAGAACGAACTGGCAGGTGCATATGCAAGAGCTAGAGAAACGTATCCCTATGATTCTACCGTTTCAGCCCAATAGCAAGGAGGATCTAGATATCCTCGTTAATCGACTCACGGAATCGTGCCGGCAAGCACTAGAAGTGGCTTGTCCAATAACACGAAGCAGGGGTAGAATAAGGCCCCCCTGGTGGTCTCTAGAACTTAAAAAGCTACAGAAAGAATGCAGAAAGCAGTTCAATTTAGCAAAGCACTCCCAAGACGAGTCAGACTGGGATTATTATTACAACCTCCTTAGGTCATACAAAAAGGAAGTTAGGAAAGCAAAAAGAAATTCATGGAAATCGTTTTGCAATGATATCGAGAACACGGCGGAAGCGTCTCGACTTAGGAAAATAATGGCACAATCGGTGCATAGTATCGGGTATCTTCAGAAGCCAGACCGAAGTTGGACGGTATCCAGTGAAGAGTCCTTGAGGCTACTAATGGATACCCACTTCCCAGGCAGCTCTGAAAGCCATACTGCAGAATATACTCAAGACAGTGGAGCAGAAATGAGCCCCACTCTCATAAACATAGTGTCAGAAAGCAACGTACGCTGGGCAATAAACAGCTTTAAGCCCTTCAAGTCGCCGGGATCAGACGGTATATTCCCGGCTCAATTGCAGCAGTCGCAGAATCACATAATGAATTGGCTAATTGCCATCCTTAAAGGGGTGCTGCAATTAAACTATATCCCTACACTTTGGAGGGAAGTCAAGGTAATATACATACCAAAGGCAGGCAAAAGCTCGCATACAAGTCCAAAGGACTTCAGGCCGATTAGCCTCTCCTCTTTCCTTCTAAAAATCCTGGAAAGACTTATAGAATTACATATTAGAAACAAACTGAACCCGGAAAAGTTGGCTGGTTCACAGCATGCGTATTCTAAAGGAAAATCCACAGAAACAGCACTAAGCTCTGTGGTGGCGGAGATTGAAAAATCTCTGGAAGCCAAAGAATACACTCTATTTGCCTTCTTAGACATAGAAGGAGCCTTCAATAATATCCAGCCTAGGGCCATACTGAGTGCGCTTAAAGATCTGGACATCTCTGAACCTCTCAGGAAATTAATTGAACAGATGCTCTTGAGCAGGTCAATAATTTCAACGATGGGAGCGTCAACGATGTGCAGATCTGTCCAAAGAGGTACGCCTCAAGGAGGCGTGTTATCCCCACTTCTCTGGGTCCTGACAATGAATAAGTTGCTGGTGGATCTAGAGAAGAAGGGGGTACATGTAGTGGCCTACGCTGACGATGTGGCAGTATCGGTCAGAGGCAAATTCCCGAATACTCTCGCAGACCTTATGCAAACGATATTGGACGATATAAATCGCTGGGCAGTATCGTGCGGATTAAATTTAAATGCTGGTAAGACAGAGATCGTATTGTTCACCAGAAAACATATTACTCCAGAAGTTACGGCGCCAATAATAAATGGTTGCAGACTAACAATTGGAGATAAGGCAAGCTACCTGGGACTAATCTTAGACAGGAAGCTCTCATGGAAACAAAACTTGGATGCTAGGGTGAAGAAGGCAGCCACAGCACTCTACACCTGTAAAAGGATGGTGGGCCCCAAATGGGGACTTACACCTCGGGTAACTTATTGGCTCTATACAGCAGTAGTCAGACCAATCATGACATACGGTATATTGGTATGGTGGCCAGTAATGGAAAAGAAATACGCGGTAAAGCGTATGGAAAGCATACAGAGAGCAGCCAGCATATGCATTAGTGGAGCTCTTAGAACAACGCCAAGTCAGGCTCTTAACGTCATTCTACACTTACTGCCAACAGACCTGTTCTGTAAACAAGTGGCAGCAAAGTCAGCTCTTAGACTGAGGGAATCCTCCCAACTAGTCGCATGCGACAAGGGGCATTCAAGGATACTCAGTATATTCCCGTTTCTACCCAAAACCACGGATTTCCGTAATCCAACAGAACGGATGCTAAATTCGGTCCACAATATTGCCTACCCCACAAGAGAGAAGTGGAAAAGGGGCGAGGTGGACAGGAATACAGAAATTAGCATCTACACGGATGGATCCAAACTGGATCATAGAGTGGGAGGTGGTGTCTTTTGCGCAGCATTAAACACCAAAATTGCCTTCCGGTTGCCAGACCACTGCAGTGTCTTCCAGGCGGAGATCACAGCAATTAAAGAAAGCCTAGTGGTATTGACAAAAAGTGTGCTCACAACAAGGAGCATATATATATACACGGATAGCCAAGCGGCCTTGAAATCACTCAAGTCTCCAATGGTTTCATCCAAGCTAGTAAAAGATTGTCTTGATCTATTAGAGGATCTGACATCCTACTTCACAATAAACCTGCAATGGGTTCCAGGACATAGCGATATTCCTGGTAACTGCGAAGCAGATGAACTAGCCAGAACAGGCACCACTTTGCAACTAACCCCTGAAAAAGAGAGTATCTTTATGCCTCTGGCAACTTGCAAACACCTAATCGGCGAATATGCTATAAATATAGCTGAGTCTCGGTGGAGACAATCAATAACCTGCACAACCAGCAGACTAACGTGGCAGGAATGAAGCGTGAGTCGCACAAACCGACTACTAAAATTTAAAAGGAATGATATAAGAACTCTGATAGGAGTACTAACAGGTCACTGCCTAATTGGAAGACATGCAAGTAGGCTAGGTGTACCATACAACGACTATTGTAGAAGCTGTCAGGAAGCAGAGGAAGAGGAGACTGTAAAGCATCTTCTATGCGAATGTAAAGCTCTATATAGGAAAAGAATCGCAACTATCGGTCGTGGATTCCTTGACGACGTATCAGAAGTTGCTAATATAAAATTATTTGTACTGATGAACTTCATCAGGAGCACAGGTTGGTTCAGGGAGGAGACGATAGAGTGAGGGAACATTAGTCCCGGTGGTATCACAATGGGCCTCCTATAGGCCTAGGTGCGTCATTGGACAGCCACTCTACCTACCTACCTACCATAGTTGCCACAAAGGATGAAACTCTAATTATAGGGATCTTTTAACTTCCACAAATAATTTTTGTATTATTATTGTCCTTTCGCTTCAAAATTTCTTTCCAGCGAGCATGCTTGTGATATTTAACAGGAAAAAGGGTTAACTTCGGCTGCACCGAAGCCATAATACTCTTCCCAGGCGCATTTTGTAGCATAACAAGTAAGGAAGAGCTAAGTTCGGGTGTAACCGAACATTTTATACTCTCGCAACGTGCAAGGATACCTCGAGGCAGTATTTGCGCAAATTTGTATCCAAATATTATCATTGGTGCTTCATTTGTGTACCGAAAAATGAAAGAATCATATGGAATTTAAAATTGAGCTGCATGGAAAGTAGGCGTGGTTGTAATCCGATTCCGCCCATTAATTTTTACTCAAGTTAACGTTTGCAAAGACGGACGGACAGGCAGACAGTCACTCGGAGTTCAGTTCGTTTCATCATCCTGATCATATATATATACATAACCCTATATCTAACTCGATTATTTTAAGAAGATAGAAAAACCATTAGTTGAAAAAAACTATTATACTCTGTGGCAACATGTTGCAAAAGTATAAGAAGGTGTAACAAGTCTTTATTCTGATTTGAATCAGACCTTTTAAATGGCAGCTGTAAGCTAAAGTAGTTCGATTTTAACAATTTTTTCTGAGATTGCAGCGCAAAAGGACGTGTTGAAAAGTTCAGACTGATATCTTAAAAACTGAGATACTAGTTCGCATATATACAGATGGACATTAGCTCGTAATGCTGATATTTTACATATATATATATTATAATGTCTCCGACGATTCCTTCTGACTGTTACAAACATCGGGTAAACTTAGGTTATAAAGAGTCAACAGGGTCAGACCTGAAGAATACTTTCATTGATTTCTGCATTGTTATAGTGCAGCAGCACTTTTTTTTTTTTTAAATGTGATGCTTTTTCGCTATTTAGAGGTCAAATTTCCCAAATGTCCATAATGGGCAAAGTTGAAAGTTTTCCTTTTCAAGATAATCGATAAAACTTATTATATATACACTCCAAATGAGAGACTTCATAACTTTGCCAACTGTTGTATCTTTCCACGTCATGGGTTTAGTTAATTACGTCCCGGATGACTCTCCATGTGACTGACACTGATTCTATTCCAAAATGTTATGAAAGAGAATTGCACTATAAAATGTAAAATAATACTAATGATCCTTTCTATTTTATTTTCACTACCAAATATTTATTAAATATTTACTGGAGGCATACTATATATGTATCAATGATCGTTTATTTAGATAATTCGAGGCTCGGATAGTCATAGTCAAAAAAATTAAAGGAGCACCTAAATTTTATTGAAGAATGTC